TCGCGTTATCAATAWATATTAAAAGCCATTAGACACGGAAACTGAGAGGCAAAGCTTCAAAGTTAACACGAAAAAGGTCTGCAAAATTGGATATAGCGTGGTGTGCTATGCGTGCGAAGCAAAGGGTAGAGAAAATAAAAATAAGAGAATAAATATAAATATCCACAAATKCAATGCTGCTATTCTTCTTCTTCTTCTTAAACATGCCGCTAATGCGCTCATCGTTCATCACCTGTTTGCTTGCACCGTAACAGCATCTGTGCTTGAAGGTGTGTGTATGTCTGGGAGACTCACTGGGGTTGCAGAAAGTACCAAACTCAAGTCAACATTTGAAAACAACTAAAAGACGCACGCACATGCAACACAGTAATGCGCAGATAACTTGACTTTAGTAGTTCAAAACTGAGTGAGAAAGTGTCTGCTTTCAAAGCAATAACATAACAAAACAAAGCACGATAATGAAAAAACAAAAGRTGAAAAATGCCTCGGAAGTGCAACTAACAACTTTTGGAAAACTTGCAACATCACTAACACACAGGTAAGACAGTGCCACAAGCAGACAAGTGAAGCAGACAGTGAAATAAGCACGAATTGCAACGAGAAAATAACTGCATTTTGACTGATTGACTTAGTGCTGCGTGCTTGATGATTTTGCATAGGTGCATTGATAGTTCATCCCTGTTGCAGGGGAGCTAAGTGATGGATGTGTGTATGTCTATACAATGTATGGCATTTCTGAAGCTCTTCCCTTCCTCGAAATTAAGTTTGTCACTTCACTTTTCATTTTAAAAACCGTATCTTCGAGTTGCGGCGAAAGATAGTTTAAGTTTGCTTTAGTAATCATTCTTAAAAATAGCGGTAATTGGGTTGCAAATGTACATGACTTTTAGTTTAAATATCAGAGAAGCTTTCGAAACCTTTTTAACAAAGCGTTGCCTTGAAGCCTTGATAACTTCTAAAGAACAGTTGTCTTCGTTGGCCATTTCTCTGCTCGAATCGAATTTATATGTGAAAGCAACAACAAATTTATCGAGTTGAATTGAAGCAAGAGAGTATTTCGATTCGCTGAAGAGTAACGCTTGGCGTATCGAAAACAAAAATTATATGCCTTAAATCGATCCTTTACCTTCCTTCTGGGTTTCTACCTACGATAGTTTTATTTTCCTTCTCATCTTTAGATGAGACCAATCTCATTGTCTCGGAAAAGTAAATGAAAATTAAATTGATTTTCTACAAGCAAATAGTGTTAGTTTCGGATTACACTCAAGCTTCATCGGAATACTTTTTTAAATTTTATTACAATACCTTTTAAGATTTATCAAAAAGCTTTATAATTTGTATCAGAAAGCTTTTTAAGCTTTATCAGAAAGCTTTTTAGACTTTATCAGAAACTTCTGATACAGCAACTGGATTAGGTTCCCGAAACGATATCTTATTTTCTAAAATGATTTCTTCAAGTAATTCGAATTATACTCAAGCTTTATCAAAGTCGTCGCTTTTAAAGTTTTATTAGAAGCTTTTTAGGCTTTATCAGAAACGTCTAGCTTTAAATTTTATCAGAAAGCCTTTGAGCGTTATATGGAAGCTTTTTAGGCTTTGTCGAAAAGATTTGAAGCTTTCAAGATTTTGAACCAAGGAACTACGAATTTTTACCAGATATTTATTGGTCTGAGTGAAAGCACTTCRAAAATAATTCAATCTTCTACGATAATATTCCTAAAAAACGCTTTTTAGTGCGATTTCTACACATTTTAGAGTAACATGTAAAGGCGCAACAGATGTCTATGTTTAGAGAGGCCTTCCAGGACGTGGTGCATCCTTAAAATCGAAAATGCCGGAAAAAAATTTTGCAAACCAATTTTGGAATTKCCTTTCTTAAACTGATTCTTTACTGTCCTTTACTCCGCTTAAGCGATTATAGAAAAATTAACATCAACGTGGCGGTCGTTTCATCTTCGCTAATTGGAGATTCCAAGCGAAGCTCAATCTTTCTGCACCTGCTCTTTCTTACGGAGGGAGGTTTTCCTATTCCCTTGCTTCCTCTGACGGTTACTGTGTCGAATACTTTCAGAGCTAAAGTGTTTTTGATTTGATAGTAAACAGTAAAATATGCCGAAAATGCTGTTTACGATCTTCCATCTTCGATAGGGTAGCAAACCAAACCATTCCAAAAAAATTTAGAATTAAAAAAAGAGTCTTGCTATATCAGTAGTTCAAATATATAACGGTAAATCGKTAAATCAGTTAAATATGAATTTGGCTGCTGTCATCAGCAAAATTACTTGTTGGACAAAGAGATATTTCAAATTATCTGCTGAAAGTTCGAAATGGAGTCATATTGGGTTCTTCGGCTAGCGCTTATGATCCAAATCATAGCACTAAAAGCAAGCGGTCCAGGAAACTCAAGTTCATGCTTCTACGTCGATATATCAAATAGAACTATATTTATAATAAAAAAGAATTGTTCGAAAGAAAATAACTTTTATATTTCCCTAGTATCGGTGTGTCGCAATTGATGAAGCCAGGTCCTTCTCCACTTGGTCCTTC